TGGAAGTCGACCCGAAAATTACAAACATCGGCCCAAAATAACTATTTTAATTATGTCTGTAACTTAAACGAATTGTTATACCCTGCCTCACTCTGAATCAGCTTTGGACTTCAACACCAAACTTGTACCTCTTTCTCTTAGCTTTGTAATGCCTATTAGAACGAGCCACTCCGATTCTCGTAGCTCAATTTATGGTCTGCACAGTGAACAGGTATCAAATAACAGTTTAAGTTGAAAACAAAGTACGAAAATAAAATAAAGCCATAAATAAACTTAAATATACAAACACACTAAAATAGTAAAAATAATGAAATAAACTATAGAGTTTCCTAAGTACAATAGTGGAAGAAAATGCATTAATATGCGTTGATCATGATGCATTATTGAAAAAGGTGAAGCTTTAGTCTCTACGTATGCAGTATGAGAATCTCAACATGAAGAAAAACGAGAAGGTATCTAATTACATCTCCAGAGTGATTCTTATCACAAATGAGACGAAATCTTGTGGAGAAACACTATCTGAACAAGCAATCATTGAAAAGGTACTGAGATCTCTTACTCCTCAATTTGATTACATTGTTGTAGAAATTGAACATTCTAAGGATCTGAGCACTATGAGAATGGAAGAGCTAATAAGCAGTCTAGAGGAATAAGAGTTACATCTGATTGAGAGAACCTCTGAAAGAGAGGTGGAGCAGGCTCTAAAGGCGTCTTCTGGTAAGAAGAATCAGAAGCAATCTTGGTTTTAGGCCAAAAAGAGACATGGTGGTGACTATCAGAAGTCTCCAACTCTTATGAGAAGAAAAATGAGAATGGAAAGGTGAAGTATGACAAGAAGAAGGTTCAATGTTACTATTGTAAGAAGTGTAATTACATTGCTGCTGAGTGTTGGTCAAACAAGGAAAGGAAATCAAAAGAAGCAAACATATCCAAAGGAGAGTGTGATGATGAACCTATTCTATTGATGGATTCTGAGTATGATGGTGGATATTTGGTATACTGGTGGTATATGAACACTGGTTGCTCAAATCACTTAACTGGAAACAAAAAATGGCTAATTAATTTTGATTCTAGGAAGACAACAAAAATCAGATGTTCTGATGATAAGTATGTTAATGTTGAATGAATGAGAAATGTCCAGGTCAGAGTGAAGAATGGAAATTTTTTTCTGATCAAGGATGTTAGGTATGTTCCTAGCATGAAGAGCAATCTAAAGAGTGTAGGCCAACTAATTAAGAAAGGTTTCTCAATTACTAGGAAAGACAATCTCTTGAAGTTGTATGATTCTGATCAAGAGCTGATTATGAAGTCTGAATAGGGAAACAACAGAAAAGTCAATGTGAATGTGGAGACAACTGACACTAAATGCCTCAGTGTAGAAGGTGTTAAAGGTGACAGTGAGATGTGGAACAAGAGATTGGGGGAGTTTGAACTTCAGAAGCCTAGAGCATCTGAGTTATAAGAAGCTGGTATATGGAAATCCTAAGATTTTAAAATTGAGAAGTCATGTGAGATATTCATGAATGGCAAGCAACCAAGATTTCCATTTGCATTATAAGTATCCCCAAGATCAAAACAATGCTTTGGGAATAGTGCATTCTAATGTATGTGGACCATTTGAATGACCTTCACATGGCTGAAATAAGTATTTTGTGTATTTTGTGGATGAGTTCACAAGGATGACATGGATAACACTCATCAAGTTTAAGCATGAGGTGTTTGTCGAGTTTCAAAAGTTCAAGGTGAATGTTGAAAATAGAGTGGTCAGAAGTTGAAAATTCTCAGAGCCGACAGTAGACGTGAGTACAACTCTTCAGAGTTCAGATGGTTCTGTGAGGAGAATGGAATTGAACATGAGGTTACTGCTCCATACACTCCTCAGCACAATGGTCTTGTTGAAAGATGAAATAGAACTTTTCTTGATATGATAAGGAGCATGCTGAAGGAGAAGAAGCTCCATCACACCTTGTGGGGAGAAGTTGTTACCATTGCAATATATATGCTCAACAGGTTTCCAACCATAAAACTGAAGGAAATTGGTCCTTTAGAAAGTGAATTGGAGATAATTAAAGTGTGAGCCATCTGAAGATGTTTGTTTATGTTTGTTACAAACATGTTCCAAATGTTAAGAGAAGGAAGTTGGATGACAGAAGCGCAGTTATGTTGTATGTAGGGTACCACATTACATGTGCTTATAAGCTATACTCTCCTGTCACAAACAAAGTTGAATTCAGCAGAGATGTCACTGTCAAAGAATTAGAAGCGTGAGATAGGAACAAGTCTTAATCTAAATCTAGTGCAGTGTTAACACCTGAGTTAAATTCTAAAGATAGTTCAGACTCTAAAGGAGATTTTGATTCTTAAGATTAGTCAAAGTCTGAAGGTGACGTTAAAGTTGAAGAAGAGTGTGAAGGTGAATCTGACTCTGAACGGGAATCTGATTTTGATCTAGATTTCGATGATGATCAAGACTATGGTGGTAATCATGCCTCTGAAGGTAGTCTAACATATGATACTGTCTAAGAATCTTAAGAATATTTTGAACAAGTTTAGAGACCATAAAGAATCAAACAAATACCAAGAATATCTATAGAGTTTAACATGTTGCAAGATACCGAGATAGACTCTGAAGGGGAAGTCATTCAGTACGACATGTTGGTAGACTCTGAACCAATCAATACTAAAGAGGATTTCAAGAAGAAGGTATGGTTGAAGGCCATGAAAGAAGAAGTTGAGGCTATAGAATGAAACTAGACTTGAAAGTTCGACTGAGCTTCCAAAGATCAAGAAATCAATCAGTGTTAGATGGGTTTACAAAGTGAAACTAAATCAAGATAAATCAATTAGCAAACACAAAGTAAGGTTATTATCTAGAGGATTTCTACTTAAATATGGATTAGATTACTTTAAAGTGCTTGCACCTATAGCTAAACATGAAATAATCAGACTGGTGATTATTATAGCTGCAAATAGAAATTGGTCTCTGATGCATTTAGATGTAAATTATGAATTTATGAATTATCCTTTACAAGAGGAAGTTTATGTATCACAATCTCTAGGATTTTTGAAAAAGAATCAAGAAGGGATGGTGTACAAGTTGCATAAAGCCTTGTAGGACAGAAACACGTTCTTAGAGCCTGGAATTTGAAAATTGATTCATTTTTCAAGCTTCAAGATTTCACAAAATGTGAGATGGAGTATGACATTTATGTTCAGCATACATTTGATATCAATATGATTATGGTGTGTCCCTATGTTGTTGATATTTTGCTAACAGGGAGCTATTTAGATGAGATAGCTAAGTTCAAGAAGGAGCTGATGAATGAGTCTAAGATGAATGATCTAGGAAATATGACATATTTTTTAGGGATGGAGATTTTGTACTCTGAAAAGGATATAATCCTAGATCACCTAAAGTATGAACTTGAACTTCTTAAGATATTTGAGCTATTAAATTACAAGTCTGCAATCACACTTGCTAAAACAAATCACAAGCTAGATCCTAATGTTGAAGGTGATGATGTTGATGCTATAGTTTTCAAACAGTTGGTAGGCTCATTGAGATATCTAGGTAATACCAAACCCGATATCTATTATGAACAAACCAAAGTGGTCACATTACCAAGCAACTGTCAGGATATTGAGTTATATTAAGGGGACTCTAAAGTATGGAGTTTTGTTCCTTTCTAATATTAAGTCTGAGTCAGGCTGATACGCTATTCAGACTATGATTGGTGTGGAGACAGGGCTGACAGAATAAGTACTTCAGAATATTTTTTGAAGTATCTGGGATGTCCTATTTCTTGGTGCTACAAGAAGCAACCAATTGTTGCATTGTCAATCTGTGAAGCTGAGTACATTCCGCGTGTTTTGACTATTTGTCAAGCTGTATGGATTCTGAACATGCTACAGGATCTGAAGATCAAGGTGAGAAAGCTTGTAAAGTTGATGATTGACAACAAATTAGCTATAAGTCTTGTCAATAATTCAGTGCTACATGGAAGAAGCAAGCAAACTGACACAAAATTTTACTTTTTGAGAAACCAGATTCAGAATGGAGTGTTTGATGTTGATCACTGTAGCACTCAATAACAGCTGGCAGATGTTTTGACCGACGCTATCAAGATTGAACACTTTATCCACTTGAGGGATGAAATTGGTGTTGTTGATTATAGTTTTGAATATGGATCAAGGGATGATATTAGAGTGTAATCCCAAATTCAATTAGTATTTCATTTAATTTTCACTTAATTTCAATTTGAGATGCATTTTAGTTTGACAACTCATATTAGAGAGTGTGTATAAATACTGAACTTCTATTTAGTTAGAGTGAGAATTCATTTTGTAACAGGATGTCAATTCAATAGAAAGTTAGTTACAAATTTACATTCTCTCTCTTCCATCTTCACTATGTTCATCTTCTTCCTCTTGTGCACCAACAAAATTAAACTAAGACAGACTATTTCGTATCTGTTGACTCTGTTCGACGTATGCTATTTTGACACACACCAAAATATCTTTCAACACCCATTCAATACAAACACATTATTTCGACTTCGATCCAAATAATTACATATTCAACAAAATATACTTATCTTTCTCATTTGTAATATTTTTACTCTATCAATACATGAACATTAATAAAAGACGTACATATTTTTCAATTGCTTGTAACTAGCTTGTTATAAACAGAAGTTTGAGTTAATACAAAAATATTTTACATTAAAATAATTGTATTTTCAAACATGTGTCAAGTGCTAAAAATACACAATAACTGAATTTACACAATATCTTTATTTCTCTAGACCATACAAAGTTTATGCAGAACCTATTTGTTCACAATTTGAGAACACACTTCTAGCGGTTGAGCACGAATTACATGAGGTAACTTCACAGTTTTGCTTAAATATAAGTTTTAGAACACTAGTATATAAATACTACTATAATTGTTCTATGTATTAAATTTTGTTAAATAAAATAGTGTCGTGCTACTGACAGTCATGATTTCTAAATTTTTTTTACTTGCTTTTCTTTGTCCAATTTCATGTCTAGCTGGTGGTTTTAGAAAGTTTGGTGGAAGTAGTGAAGAACTTCATCATTTGCATTGTGATCGTAGTGCCGGTGGTAACAGTGGTGCGATTGGTGGTTCAAGTGGCGGGGGTGAAGGGAATGGATATGGCGGGGTAATAGGCCGTGGAAATGGAGGATCTGGCAGTGGAGGTGGTGGTTATGGAGGATCTGGTGGTGGAGGAATAGATGGCAGTTATGGCCATGAACATGTAGCATTTGGTGGTGGAGGAATAGGTGGAAGTTATGGTGATGGAAATGGAGAATCTGGTAGGAGAGGTACAAGTAGTGGTTACGGTGGCTGTAATGGAGGAGTGATCGGTGGTGGCTATAGTGATGAAAATGGAGTAATTGGAAGAAGAGGTGATGTTGGTGTTGGAAGTGGAGCAGGTGGCAATGGAGATAATGACGGTACGGGTAATGATGATTGTGAGAGTGAGACAAAATTTTTTAATCAGCTCCCACCATAATTTTGCAATATTTTGCAATTTATCACTACACATTTTTATTTAAGATGCAAACTAGTGTTTTAGGATGATTTCAATTTCATATTAGTTATTATTATAAGTAATATATGACCAATAAAATAAATTTCATTTTTAGTTTATTGGTTAAAAATAATCATTATTATTATTATTACCATTATTGTTATTATTACTCCGTCGGTTTCTTTTTTAATGTTCAGGAGTTTAAAAATATAAACGTATTTTTTGTATGTTTATTTTTTTTAATTTAAATTTTTTATAATATAAATTGAATAAAATAGTTTACAAACTACCATATAACAATTAATAAAAAAGAAATTAATAAAAAAAAAGTTGAATTTTAAAATAAAAAATAAAATAATATATTTAGAATAAAAATAATCTATACCAAATTTAAGTTTTTTCTTTATATTATAGATTATAAATTATTATTATTATTACTATTATTACTATTATTATTATTATTATTATTATTATTATTATTATTATTATTATTATTATTATTATTATTATTATTATTATTATTATTATTATTTATTTGAAAGAAAAAAATCTTCTCTATGAATGAATTAATTGATATATATATTAAATGTGTTTTTAAAATGATCTAGGGATGACAATCGGATCTATTAAAGTAAAAATTCTTCCAATCAATCCAATAAAAAACTCATTCAATCTATTCATTATCCATAAAATTATTTAATGAATTGGATTCAATCCATTTCATTAGAATTATTGATCTAATCCATCTACTACAATTTTTAAATCTATTGGATCATTTTAATAATAAAAAATATTTTATCATTGGATCATTTTTATAATAAAAAATATTTTATCATTTCAAAAAAAATATGATAAAAAATAATTAAAAAACACACAATTGTCTCTCTCTCTCTTGTAATTTTTTATAAAAAATATAATAATTTTAAAAAAAATCTTTCTCTTTTATTTTATATTTTTATGCTCCAATTTTACTGTTTTTAAATTTTGTTTTAGAAGATATTTTTAATAGTATGATTCAAAATATATTTTTTCTAGATCAGACTAATAATTTTACTATCTAAATTTTATTTAGTTTTGATTATAATAGATGTTGAATCAATCATTTTCATTTAATGCCTTTTATCATTAGTTTATACACAATCATTTTACTCATTAGTATTACTATACATCAATTATTAATTATGTTTTTGTTATTATTGTTACTACTTCATACTACAATTTTTTTTTGTGAAGTAAATTATTATATTTGATTGAAATTGGAATTTAATAGATAGAGAGAAATTAATAAAAACAATTATTAAAAGACAAAAGTTGTGAATTTTTAAGAGAAACAGAGAAAATTATTGAAAAAAAATTATTTTAAATGAATATTTAAATAATATAGTTTTTATAAAATTTAAAGTATAAAATAATATTTATGGATGAATATATCCATCAATTATAAAGAGATTAATGAATGAATTAGATGTATTTTATTTTTAATAGATGGATTGAATTAAATTTTTTTTAAAAGCTTTAATCCATTGTTAATGAATAATGAATTGTTTTGATTTATTCACTAATAATTCAATTCATATTCATTTGTTTTGACACCCCTAATCTAAGCTAATGATACCTCTTTCACACATCGGTAAAAAAAAAAAATTGTAAAATTTCTATTTCTATCTATTAAAGATCTTAGAAAAGTTTTAATGGTGAGTTTTTGGAGTCACTCTTCAAAAGTTATTTGTTTATTCACTTAGATCATAATACTTTCATTCCAAATTTGATTAAAAAAACTAATACTTAATGTTTGGATTAAAATACATAGTCTTCCTTTAAATATTAGAGATGAGTTTTGGTAGATTTTGATTTTGTTAGATTATATTTCAAATAAATTTATTAATGAAGGGAATGTTATGCTTTTAATGTTGATTTTGCATATAAAAGACTTCTTTCATTTGCTATTGGTAACTCTTTAGAAAATACACAATGTTAAGCATTGAAAAAGAAAAAGATAACAAAGTAGGTATTTTATGTACCAAAACATATCCAATAGACATAAAACATTACAACAATAAAATTAGATGAGTCACCAATAAAAGATCTAATTTTTGTGGAGAAAGACACGCGTGGCATATGCACAAAAAATAGTAAATGGTACTAATAGACCATTTGAAGAATTTACAACGGTTCTTTTAACTTATGCGAGGAAGCTGATAAAGTAAACTATCATGAGACCGAAAATTAAAAATTCTTTTTTGAGGTACATTAAGAAGCTATGATTCATACTTTTCTAACATATATGAATTTTTCACAGAACGAAAAAAATTAAACAAAATAGAAAAAACTGGTAAATATAATTCATAGTTGTCATACCCCAAATTTGTCCTACCTTATATATAACTCTCATTTTGTACGTCCATCCACCAATTGGTATTCAAAAAAAATATATAAAAAAATATGTGTTGCCTAAATTCGTGCTTTGTCTGAAGGTGTCCGTTCAGGTGTATAATTAATTGAGGATTGATGGTTTTGACCCAAAATTTAGTCATATGGGAGTTTTGGATAAAGTCAAAGTCGGGGTGTGACTAATTCAGATGGTCGGTTGGAGCTGATAGTTAGGATTGAGGTTGATTCAAGTTAACAGATGTTTGCTTTGAGTCATTGATACTTCAAGGAATAGGATCATACATAATTAATTTATTTATATGAGGGTTTGACACAGAGTGTTGAGATCTATGTAACAAAACATTATAGTATGGATGGGCGTTTGATTCATTATGTGGAGCTTTTTTTTTTGGATGTCCAGATGATGTGCCTTTGTTTAAGTTTAGCCGAGAATCACAAGTCAAGTTTGGAAAATTGAAAACCATATGAGAAAAAAACATGCAATATGTGGAAGGCTCAACATATGGTCACAAGTTACTAAATTCCATCAATAATTTCCCTGCAAGAGTATTACAGCAAAATTCCATAAAGAAAAATGAGTCATAAGTTTTTTAATCAAAGCCCATTTAGCTTTCTATTTCATGAGAAGTGCCCATTACAGTAATAATAAGAGATCATTTTACAATTGGTGTAATAATGGGACAACGTTGAGGTTTTTTAAGGCCATTCTTCATACACGTACAAAAGGAGAACAGAGAACTGAGGTTTCTCCAGATAGCATCCAGTCCAAGCCGTAATGTCACGTCTTCACAACAGCTAATCCATGCTGCAGCACCTCACAACCATCTTCATGCTACCATCTGCAAAATTCTCAAAAGAAAAGAAGGCCCACATCACAATATGGCATCATTAGAATTAACATTACAAAAATGCAAAAAAAAAAAAAAGAGAAACAGCAAAACGGTTACCGTAGCTACCGCGCCAAGAGAACGCTCCGCATCTCCATTACCGATTCCCCAAAACCACCACTAGAGAGAATAACATTTATCTTTCCCGTGATCAACGCCTCTGCGTGCATCGCACTTGTGGTGACTGGTACTGGGAAAGCAGATATGGTTCACTCTGTGCTGAGTGGATTTGAAACAGCTGATAGGCTTCCTGCTGCATTAGTTTTGCCTGAAGGGGAGTTGAAATGATTCGTAGACGAAGGTGCAGCATCAAAGCTGTAGAATCCCAAACCGTCCATTACCTACAAAACAAGAGATAGATGCAAAATTAATTCAACCAAAAATTAGCACGGAAGGCATTAATCTCATTTGATTGCCACGAAATTCATGCGAAGAATTTTCGCACAACAAGACCCGTACAATGCGACTATACCATGTGAATTACGGCAACATGTAACCAAGGCCTGCAAAATTACCAACGGAGAATGATGAGATGAAGTTTTGATTTATAAAACCTGCTAATTTGGACAGCATTATTACAAGCTAAAAGATTACAACCATTGACTCAAATTGAAGAATTCGGATCATAAATACCTAATATATGAGTGCATATGGGAAGTCCCGCCGGTGTTGAAAATCTCGCATTAGATGAAGGAGAATCATACGTAGAAGTGAAGGCCTTGTTGTACGAAAACTATGCAGTTCATTGTTCCTCATAACCATACCCATCAAAAGTAGCATATTCACCAATGACCACACCACAACCGGAAAATGACAGCATTCAAAACGCACAAATAGCCAATCTGTCAAACCATGCTGCCATGAATTTGTACGACTCAAAGCACACAATACGAGTTACAAGCTATACCAAATGCAAGCCTCAAAGGATGAGTTTTAGCCCAAAAAGTTAAGTTGCGGACAAGCTTTGAGATTGTTTTCTGATGAGCTGCAAAATCCCAAAGTGACCTGCAATACATGCTTCCTCATTATGCACCAAGAGGGGGATAACCCAACGGTATTTCACCTACAAATGAAAAGCAAAAATTAGCTACAATCGACGGCGATACGACACTGTAAGCAAAATTTGAAGAAAAAAGGAAGAAAATGAAGAGGGCGATGAGTTTCTCTTGCTTCGCAAAACCATGAATAGCCGTGGTTTGTGTAGATATATGCTTATGCATCTGTTTGAAATGGCATTGCTCAGGGAACAAATCCCTTCGGCTCTGAAAGCTGCGAAGGAACAAGCGAAATTAGTGTTCGAATATATTGGAAGATTTTACCTTCAGGGAAGCAAAGCCTATACCGTAAACTCACCGATGATTACTTCAAAGGCAAACTTCGGTTTTGGCTTTGGAATACTATCTGATATCCGGTTGTGTTGTGAGTGAAGCAGAAATGGAACCTTCATTGAAGAAAGGAGCTGCAGCTGCAGTTGTTGCACGGAGGAAGAGACTCATTTCTGAAGGTGGCGTGGGTGCTGCCAGTGAAATGGATGCAAGGGAAATTTACCATTTGCTAATGAGGGAATCATTGTGAGCATACCCACCATGTGCAAGTAACCACGAGTTCAAGAAACTTACAGTGCCGATCATTTTTCTTCAAATTATTATCAAGACAGAATTTGATGCCGCAAGCACCTTTCTCCCACCTGCACCCTACGAGACA